GACTTCTACTACTACTATTTTCGTCAGGACTCGTTCGCGATGGTGGTTGTGAGTCCTGACGAAAATAGTAGTAGTAGAAGTCCGGAACGGAGTTCCGAGATCCCCCGGACTTCTACTATCCTCATATTCTCGTGTCTTGCGATCGGGAACCAGCACCATTGTGTCTTCATATTCTGTCAGGCACCGGTCATGTTATCTTTCTTGTTGTTTTCTACGCCGTCTTCCGTACGGCTGAGGTTTCAGAGGTGCGAGACTTAAGGGGGTGCCACCGTGGCCCAAAGCCCACAGGTGGGCTAACGCGAGTGGCGCAAAACATTTGTGCTTTTACAACAGAACTCGTGAACATGGATTAAAAATTGCTACACAACAAAAGGGTGAGCAGAAGTACAGCATGAAGGCTACTGCTTCACCCTCAAACAGTCTCAGCTCTCCTGGGTGGAAGAAGTAGATGTAGCGTGACCCGAATACGAAGTTGAAGAGTGTGGCGGTTGGGGAGGGGTGGCCGAGTAAACAGGAGCGGGAATATAGTAGCTGTATGGTGTATAATATGGTGAATTGTAGGCGTAAGGGTGATAATTAGGTGCTGAGGGATAGGGAGCATAAGCATAAGGATACGGGTGGTGTGTTACTTGACCAGAAGAAGATGCTACGGGTCCAGCAGAGGCATGAGAGGATTGAGTGGGCCTTTCGGGAACTACGGTCGATGTCTTGTGAGGCGCATCCGCGGATTGAGACGAAATTTCTTTAGTTACCGAGATATTTGCTGAAGTATCTGCAACTTGCATGGCTTCGGAATTCGTCGGGTCAAGAAAAGAGTCTTTCGTTCTGGCTGTAACCTTTCGTGGGGCTTTGACACCGGTCTGCTGTTGGACGGCCTTCTTCTGCTCTCGAAGATCCTTCAGGTGAGCAGCTGCGTCTCGAATGGAGTCATCAATACTTTCAACTTCATTCTCGGCCTCTCGTCTAGCAGCAGCTGCTTTCGCCCGGCGATCCTTTCGAAGCTGGTTGTTGTGAAGACGGTGGTAGGCAGTATTTAGATGATTAGGGAGAATCCCACTCTGTTCGGCAAGGGTAACCTTCTCTTCCATCGCTCTATCGAGAACATATGCCCTAAGATAAGTCAGAACACGACATGAGTCAGCGATACAAAAGGAAGCTGGGCTATAGTAATGAACGCACGAGTCAATAGATGATAGTATAGACAACCCAATACCCGTGTGAGCGTTCGTGTGCGGGTGAGAGCTTTCATTAATGTTAGTATCACATGGTGTAGCGAGCCAATCTTCTTCGTTCATCTTCGTGAAGAATTTGTTGATGCACGGAAGAAACCACGGTTTTGATTGTTTATCTTGCGCCCAATCTGTTGAACGCGAGTTATCAATTAGTGCTCAAAGCTCGAAGTATACCGAAGAAACGAAAACATGTCACCTCGCAATGCCTTGTTGGACGAGGAAAGACAGAACTTCCAGAATTCGGAAGCCTCAGACTCCGTCTCGATAAACTTACATCCACGCACACGTTTCATTATCTCTCTATCACAGTGTGCCGCAAGCGAGGTAAAGTTCCTGGTAAGTTTGTCAGCGTCGATGTGGAGATGAAATACTTGGAGGAGACAAACCTGTCAAGATGAACGGAACATGTCTTCACAACCCACTGCACAATCATCTGGGGATCGCGCACAGTTATGGAGCTGGTGGGGCATGATGCATTTCGAACAAGCAGCGCATCACCACAGCCATCAACTTGTGCCCTATCTCCATCCACCACAATTGCGAGAAGACCAGACCCGTGCATGAACTTGAACCTTACTGGCTGTAGAGTCGCTTGCTCGATGGCATCCCAAAGGCTAAGCCACATTTGTCGAAATGCTTGCCGGGTTTCGTGTTCACAGTAAACACGAGCGATAGTAAGACCTAAGTATTAAGAGCAGGTCAGAAATATTTCTCGACGTAAAGACAGAGAAGAAACAGCCTACGTACGCATGTTCAGTCGTTGGACCCACACAACGACCTCCCACTCCTTCCACTGTCCCCGTGTACGCTTGTATGTATTATCATGGAAGGACGCTTTCGCTTCGTGATAATACATTGCGAGCCCGGGGAGCATAGTGACGATGATGTTGAGACCATTGCCAGTGTATATGGAGAAGACATACTGCTGTTCGTGAGGTAGCTGTTGCTGCTCGACCTGACGAGCCATAACACCTTAAAGTGAAATAGGTGTGAGTCTGAGAGACAGTTGACAACGAGATTAAGTCTGCAATCACATACCGGCCATCTCTGATCCGACGGGTTGATTCTCCTTGCGAAGATTGTGAATAATAGTCCGTTTGTGGCGACTGTTCGCTAGAGCAGGGTACTTCTGGGCAGGCGTGACTCCTCCAAAGGTCTGACGAGTACTCGGAGCTGCAAGGTCGGAAACAAAAAATTGTGGTATTATGAAACGAATCAGAAACATATTCAATCTATGATAATGACATCCTCCGTACCCGCATCAACCTTCTGCATAGTCGATCCGCCATGCCCTACCATCACTGTAGCCTCTCGATAGAGCTGCTTTGCCTCAACGGTAATCTTCGTATCCAACGGCATCGGATGGTTGTGCGCTCTCTTGAGTAGAACGATGGCCCGCCGCCCGGAGTACCAGATGATGAGCTTCGTCGGACACTTACGTGAGATAATCTTGCCTTGAACAACCGCTCCATCCCCGTCGATATGGGGAATATCTATCAAGCCAACAAGAAAAAAGTATTAACGATGCTGAATGGAGCTGCGCATTACGCTAGCAAGACAACAGTACTCACGGCAATGCTTCTTGGTATTGCTTGGTTTGAGAACGAGAGCGCAGGACCCCGCTGGAGTGACCTGGCTTGTGGACGCACCGGATGAAAGGCGCCCCCGGTTCTTGAATAGGTCGATGATGACCTTCTCATCAATAGAGGCTGGGATCGCAATGAATCGGTGAGAGCGAGCGTGGGGATCCCCCTTCCGAACATGCTCACACCCGCAGAAGTGTTTCTTCCCATCAAGACTTCGCTATAAACAAACATCAATCACTGTATCTTTGGAGAAAGCCAATCGACGAGAAACTTACCTCAGGCAAGATGCGAAGTACTGTAACACCGTCACAAGGCTGACCCGCATCATTGACATATGAACAGGGCCTCTCAAGAGCCTTTTGATACCAACTGCAAGATGATGTCGTTAACTTCAAATACATCCGCTGGAGTGAGGATCTCACGTACCTGAAAGCGAGGGCCTCATTCGATGTGGCACCATCGAGAGCCCGTTCTGCGTCCACGAGTCGTTTACGCTCCGCAGGGTCAGGAATGTAACGCTGACAGTCGTTAAGCAAGGACATGTCGAGTTGGTTGCAGTGTCGGACGCCTTGGCAATGATGCTCAGCACGTCGACACATCGTACCCTCTGCATCGTCCTCTCCAAAGAAGACTTTTGTCAGCTTGTTGTCAGATCCGGCTGTTCCACCTCCCCAAGCATCTTGGTCCTGTGATGAAGGTTGGCGAGTAGTTAGTCCGCTAGTTGTCTGAAGAGACTGAATAAGGTCGGACGTACCTCGCCTTTGATTATCGATGCCATTGAAGTTCCTTCGGGCCACGGGAAGGGATGATCCGTCAAGTCAAGAAAGAAAGCAAAGTCGCCCTCAGGCAAACTAGGATCCGGAACAGTCCAGCATGATGGAGGCGTGGTCAAGCGAACAAGCTTCGAGCAACTAGTCAGGGCGGTGATCTGAACACGCCCGTCAGTCCTAGCCTTCTTTTTCCCTTTGCGAGAAGACGACTGATGAGCCTTCTGCTTTGCTGTTGGCGTAGACTCCGAGTCCGAGTCTGAGAGTTCGATGACTGAGACGTCAGAGCCACGACTCCTCTTGTGATTGACATTGGGCTTGGCATCGACCTTCTCTTCAGGATCCGTGCTAGGACGAGGATTGTCAGAATCCTCTGCCTCATCAGCTTCTGCAAGAGAGGACAGTACAGATGGCAGAGGTGTAAGGAGCAGACGAGCCGAGGATGAAGCAAGACGTGAGAGAGATGAGGAAGGTGTAGCAGCTGTGCTGGATTTGGGTGTCGAGGGAGTCGAACAACGCGAGGAAACACCAGAAGCACCAGAAGCAGAGGGCGTCAAGGACAAGGAACGGCTAGTCCGACGATCAGACTGGTGCTGTTTCAAGAGCCAAGCTAAGAATTGGTCTTCGTCGATCCAGTTCAAGGCATTGGCAGCAGAAAATGTGGTGTGGCGATAGCGTTCGATGAGGGCGCGAAATTGGGGATCTGCTGAATCATAGACCTAAGTAATTGGGATTGAGGAAGGCCAAGCAGTATTGAGTATCGCCTAAATGAAACATTTCTCATTAAATATAACGCACCTGATCTCGATACCGATTGATGGTTTCTTCGCTGATGCCTTTGTCGCAAAAGTCGCTCAAAACTTACCAGGCATTTTGACAGACGCTGGGACCTAATGGACCATATTGGACCTAATCAGGACGATGCATGGCTTATGATGCACCGTTAGGTAGCATCGCCTCGCTACTTTTGGACAGACTAGATCTAGTATATATTTAGTCAACATGTAATACATTCTCAATCTGCCAGTGCGCAGGAGAATATCCGCAAACATATAATTCATGAGGTAGTGTCTCCGGCGTCTCTCTGGTTGAGAGAATGTTAGACACATGAGACCACCCCGCTCGAGCTCTTCTACTCAAAAAATTCTGCATGTGACTCCTCCCTGTACATTCTTCCAACACTCTGCCACCAGAAAATCGAGAGCACAGGATAGTAGGTACCTACAATCCACCTAAGTTATCGGTTCACACCACCTGCCAATCAACGCTCTGAGAAACATATCATTCCTTCTGGCACGAGGAGTCGACAATCACAAGTAGCAATCATTCAACCTCTCTGGTTGATGGAAAGGCGAACAGATATGAACGACCAGCTCGTCGTCGTGCATGACACGGGCCAATGAGTGCTTACCGCGGTGCTGGCCTATGGGCCACAGAGCGATCA